CCTTAAAATATGACCTAAGGCAAGCTATCATTTCCCAGAAATGAAATATGTCATATTTTACTATTAAAGTGAGGCAGAAAAAGAGCATTCTATTATAATAATGGTTTTTGTTTAAAAAAAATTTAAATGTCAAATCCCCAAAGGAATAATACATATCTGATACTATTATTGGAACTGTAATACCAGTAATCGTACGAGGTACTTACATTTAGTATTGTTCATACAGTAAAGGGATTTTCATGTAAATCTTTCTGTAAAATTATGGTGTCAGAGGAAAGTGAGGACCAGCACCACGCATTATTCATGCAATCAATACGCATTCATTGGGAATGAGTGTATGTCAGTCATAAGTCTAAGTGCTGGGGATGCAGACAAAAGGTCTAGAACATTCCCTTGCCTTCAGTGAGCTCACAGTCCAGTCAAGGAGACAGATATAGTGCCAAACTATGAATCAACTGTCACCACAGATCCACAGATGTAGTAGAGATTCTGGTGGGGCTGTGGACGGAACACATGGAACGGTTGGTTCATGCAAGGAGTCTTTGCTATGTTTAAGTGGCCTACTCAGCTAAGCTGAACCTCAAAGTATCACAATGTAGGATTTCATGGGCAAATGGAAGAGAATAGTCAAGAAAAATCAGAGTCACATGGAAGGAACAGATAAACGCATTCAGTGAGTGGTTCTGTGTTGTCACAGAGGTGAGCCTGTCAGCCCGCTAATGTCAAATGATGACGTAGTTTGAATGGCTTTTGATCAGTATAACTTTAGGGAACAAATATATTTTACATTATATTCTACAGGACAAAGGCAAAGAGAGTAAGATGCAAAAATGCCACATGAGATAAAACTGTCATTTCCATCGTGACTCATCTGTTAACTTATGGAAATACACTCATATCAAGAAATACAAGAAGATTGCTCACTTCACATGCTCACGGGTGGATTGAACCTAATTTTGTAGCATTAAAACCAATTTTCCACTGAGAAAACATGTCACAGAGGATTACACGAACCTTTACAATGATTAATATTTGATATTTCAATGTCACCTTTCGCCCTGAGACACGTCCCACTCTCATGGGAAAGACAAGCTCTAAGGAGACAGAATAGAATATGTCGTGCTTTCTATTTTCCACATTCCCAAGGCCTTTTGGCCATGCGTTTCTCTCACCTTTATGATAGTAGACAGTAAGGCAATGGTTTCCCCTATGAGAAGTCATAAGCTAGACTATGAACTACATCTTTTTATTTACCGCTCTTCTCACAGGATGGAATTTGACATGGCCATTCCTCTTCCCCTTTTTTTCACTACCGCTAACCACAACCTGTGTCTTTGTAGAGTCCTTCTGCTTCCACAGGAGAAAAACAAAATAACACTATCACCACCATCACCACCACCACCACCACCTCCACCACCACCACCACCACCACTACCACCACCATCACCACCACCATCACCACCACCATCATCATCACCACCATCACCACCACCATCACCACCACCACCATCACCACCACCACCACCACCACCATCACCTCCATCACCACCACCACCACCACCACCACCACCACCATCACCTCCATCACCACCACCACCACCACCACCACCATCACCACCATCACTACCACCACCATCACCACCACCATCACCGTCATCACCACCTTCACCATCACCGCCCCCACCCCCACCATTACCCTCACTGGGCCTATAAAGTGAGGGCCTTATAAAGCCCTCACTGGATGCCTAGGCTGATCTGTTATTCTATAAAGAAGCCATATCTATTATTCTATATTTGACAGTGACATTAGGGGGTAGTGCTGTCCTCTAAATCTTTCTGTGACTCTGGAGGTGTTTTGTAAGTGTTATCAGGTATGGTAACCACTGTCATGTGTGGCCATTTATTGGTGCTACTGAGAACCAGCCATACTTATCTTGTATTTAATTTTGATTAAATTCATGGGAGCACCACTGAGACTGCAACCACTGGCATTTATTATAATTGTCATTATTATTATTTTAAACAAAGAGCTGGAAGGATGGCTCAGCACTTAAAGAGTGTTTACTGCCCTTGCAGAAGACCTGAGTCTGGTTCCCAGAACCCATGTTAAGGCTTAAACCAACCTGTCACTTTCCAGGGAATCTGATGTCCTCTTCTGATCTTCATAAGCTGGGACACACACAAAACTAAAAATAAAATTAATAACCCCTCAAAACCAGACCAAACTCCAAAGGTCTACTTTCACTATGTCTATATTTATTATATATTATATAAACATTTATATATTTATGTTATATAATTATCATATATGGAAGATTAGAGTGAAGAAGGGGTGGGTATGAAATATTAGTGAAGCCATAACTATTTTCGAAAGAGTCCTATATCCCACATTTGGAGAACTTTAGACCAGCCTTTTCCTCTCTGTTAAAAGTAGATTTTTAACAACTCCTGAGGAATAAGTAGAATAACCAACCAAGTGTTTTCCCAACAAGGAGTATTTGGAAAAGACATAGGTGGTGTCTTAAACTTAACTGTTCTCAGGCCACACCAACTGGTCCCCAAGGGGAAGCACTAAGCTGACAGAGGAAGAGATTCCCATTCACTTATGAAACGGGACAGCGAAGAAGGGCTTTATATTTTGAGCTTCAGTGGGAGTCTTCAGATAAGACTTTTCATTAACTTCCACTTCTCCGGGATTTTTGCCTTGGTGTGAAAATTTGGAAATCCACTTCTGTATGCAGAGACATTGATTGGAAGGCTCAATTCCATCTCCTGCAGTAGTCCTCCTTGTAGACTTCTGACTATCATTAGAGAAAGAACTTAAGTAGCCCTTGGATTGAACCATCTGTCGCAAAAATGTGACATATGCTTTCCATGTTTACTCAACGATGGAAGTGTAAACTGATACACTGAACTGGAAATCTGTGTAAGTCTGGTGTGATTGAATATGACACTGGGGGAGGGGTTTCTGGTGAAGGCATCAGACACTTCATACCTGCCCCTGAGGAACACGTGCAAGGAGAAGGAGGAGCTAGGACTGGCGGGATGTCCCCTGGGTTTAGGTCGTTCACTGAGATGCAGGCACTCTTTGAGGACTCTAAACAATGCTACAGCCGCCACAGCTGAAGGGCACGCCCGGCTGATGTGTACTTGAATGGGAGCTACCCATCCCTCCTCCTCTTCTCCCTGCCCTTATGCCCGGCCTCAAACTTAAACTAAAGCCTGTGCCCTTTTCAATTAACCCCCTGGATCAAAAAAGAGCGTCTCTTTTCTGTCCTTCTTGGCGGCCCATTGTCTGTGGTGATGGGTTTGCATATTTGACAGCTGGGCTCATAGATTTGATTCAGACTCTTGTTTTTATGAGAGATGAACTTGGGACATAGAAAAGATCTCCGCCACAAGCCCCAAGCAGCGAGATGGTCGGTCAAACACCACTGCGGACATACTATAGACAAATCTCTGGATCCCTAAGGGACAGCGGGTGTCACGGAGAACAGGGTTCAGCAGCATCGCTGGAGCGACCCTCGAAGTTGGGGTGAAGGGTTGTGGATATGTTCTGTTTTATAAAATGTATTTGAAAAAAAAATTTACTCTTGGAACAGTCAAGATGGAAATCATCTTATAAATCATCTAAAGCTGGGTCTGATCAGACTTCAGTGCAGTGGGCTGGGGACTTTGCTTTGTCTCGCTGTCAAAGCCGGGAGGAGAGAGGTTTGTGAGCTCGCACAAGCGTGGATCAATGGGTGGGTGCATCCCCAGATCGCTGCTCAGGGCTTAGGTCTGAGCAAGTCTGTATCTTGCCAAGTCTTGAGTCACAGCCGCGAATGACGTGTAGAAAAAAAAAACACAACTTTGTGTTCAAAAGGGTCTGGATGGGTTGCTGTGTTGAACTAAAGAAAGAGCCCTTGTGCACCGAAGGGGGTTGGGGTGCGCAGCCTCGGCGAAGGAGACGCTAGCGCTGCGGTCCTGAGTCTGCGTGCGTGTTGGCCTTGGGTCCCACCGCCAGCCAGCCTGTAAGTCTGCTGTGGTGTACAGAGGAACTGCGCTTCACAGAGGAGCCTGTCCTGTGCTGCCGGGCGGGTGGAGCAGAAGCAGCCTGAGGGGCCTTTAGCCAAAACCAATCTGGGCACGCTACCCTCCCACCGCTTCCAATAACCGCTGACATCCCTACCGGGCATCGAGCCGGGTCGGGGAGGTCTGCTCGGAAATCGTCCTGGCCAACTCTATCCTCCGAACTGTTGCAGATTATGGCATCGTTTTTTGTTTTGTTTTGTTTTTTAACCTAGCACAGAGAAAGTGAGGCCGGAAAGAGAAAGAGGAGGCGGGGACACCCCCAAAGAATAAATAAATAAATAAACACTGGCTACTCGCTGCAGCTAGACACGGGTCAATTGGGTCCAGGTTGGTGGCATATAGAGTTTTCTCTTTCCACTTGAGAACCCATCGCCACCTCCCCTCCAGCCATCCTTTTCCATTTTGCTGGCGTCCTCCAACTTTGGGGCCAGGGGGGCGCTAGTGGTGCGGGGTTGCACCTGCTGGGGCGTGCAGACGCTGTGGGCTAGCTCGCTCTCTCGGGGCAGTGGTGTGGATGCACAGGAGTTCGGGCTCTGGGCAAGTGCGTGTGAAGCACTGAAGTCTAGGAAGGAGCCCAGGATGAGCCACGGGTAGGAGTAGGGGGATCAGAAGCCAGGTTTCAGTTCCAGGAGGGATGTCAGTTTCCTCTTGCGAGACTGCCTGGGAAAAAGGGCTAGTCCAGGGGAGGAGTGTCGGTGGCTGGGGTAGCGATCGGTGGCCGGTGGCCGGGGACAGAAGAGGTGGAACGCTAGTGATCGAGCCAGCAAGTGAGTGGTCGGGCGGGAGCCAGGGAGGGCGGCCAACTTCCCGGAGCCGGCGCAGGGTCTTGGTCCAGCGGGGTTGGCTAAGAAGCCTTCGCCACCGAGGCTCCGACTCCGGGCAGCGCCAGCTAGCTTCCGGCGCTTGCTCGGAAAGTAATGGTTATTTATTTGCTTGCGTTCAGCCTCTTGGGTTGTGCGCGATAGCCTCCAGCTTTGAAAATTGGGAGCCCTAGAGGACCCCTCCTGCTCCAGACCCCAGGTTCCGGAGCTTCCCCAAGCCCCTAATATCTGAACTCTCACCTCCCGCTGTCGGACCCGAGTTGGGGTAGCGTTGAGAAGTCCCCCAAGGAGGGAGCGGGGGAGGGGAGAGGGGCGGGAGCGGGAGGCTTCGGCACTCTGGGCTCTCATTTCAAAGCGCGCTCTCCCTTGCAGGTTGAGTCGGAACTGAACCCCTAAAAGCGGGTCCGCCTCCCGCCCTCGCGCCCGCTCGGAGCTGAGTCGCTGGCGGCGGTGGGCGGCAGAGCGACGGGGAATCTGCTCTCACCCTGGATGGAGCTGAACTTTGAGTGGCCAGAGGAACGCAGTCGCCCGGGGATCGCTGCACGCTGAGCTCTCTCCGCGAGACCCGGCGGCGGCTTTGGATTTTGGGGGGGGCGGGGACCAGCTGCGCGGCGGCACCATGTTCCTAGCCACTCTGTACTTCGCGCTGCCACTCCTGGGTAAGTCGATGCCGCTGCTGGCTTTCTCATCCAGAATCTTTCATAGGGGGTCCCTTGCGGCGGCCGCTCCAGAATTGCGGGTGGGTGCGGTGAGTGTGGGTGGAAGAAGTTTCGCTAGGGGGTGAAAAGATTCAAGAATCCCTGGGATTGGGATTGGTGGTGGCGCATCTTTGCGCGGTTGATTTTATTTTGCCGTATTTAAAGGGGAAAAACACAAAAACAAACGCTAATAACCCAGTCTGATGGGGAATTGAGAGGCTCTAGGCTTCCATCCCGGGGCGTTGGTCCTCTTTGGAAGTCGCCAGGAGCTCACTGAGACGCTCCGGCAGGTGGAGTGTGGTCGAATATAGCCGGGGTCGGAAAAGAGCAAACTTGGAATGGAAAACTTTTCTGGGAATAACGTCTCTGCGCACCCTCGGGGCAGACTGTGGCACTCGCCCGCCTTTCGTTCAGCGCGCTACGGGTGCCAAGTGCCCAGCCTCGCTGTTCAACTGAGTGCCCTTGTGTCGGCTGCGGGCAGGGAGACACTGCAGCCTCTAGTGCCTGGGGAGGCGGGGCAGCCAGCCGTTCAGGACTGCTTCTGCCTTGGGACACTGGGGCTACGCGGGATCCCAGCAAATCCGGCTAAGGCAGCCAGTGGAAGCTGTTACTATCTTCCTTGTTGAGCCAGGGAGTTCCAGGGGTGAGAAAATGATCATCCAGAAGAAAGGTGGACCAGCTTCCTACCTAATCCGCTCTTCAGAATTATGGTGGAGCTCTATCATATTCTAGGCGCGAGCCCTGCCCTCCCGGCACCGGGAATCAGGGTACCCACTCAAGCGCTCTTCTGTTTACCCTATAGATTTGCTGATGTCGGCCGAGGTGAGTGGTGGGGACCGCCTGGACTGTGTGAAAGCCAGTGATCAGTGCCTGAAGGAACAGAGCTGCAGTACCAAGTACCGCACACTAAGGCAGTGCGTGGCGGGCAAGGAAACCAACTTCAGCCTGACATCCGGCCTGGAGACCAAGGATGAGTGCCGCAGCGCCATGGAGGCCTTGAAGCAGAAGTCTCTCTACAACTGCCGCTGCAAGCGGGGCATGAAGAAAGAGAAGAATTGCCTGCGTATCTACTGGAGCATGTACCAGAGCCTGCAGGGTATGCACTACTGCCTCCACCAGCGTGGTGGGTTTCCTCTCCGAAGGCCAGAGGCAACCTCAGTCCAGTCGGTATTGTGGCTAAGCTGGCTGATCTCATCCTGTGCTCACTTCTCCCAGCTGCGGGATGAGGACCTTTCATTGGCCCCTAGGGACAACGGCAGCTGGTGTTTGCTGCAACTGAGCAGTCTTGTTGGAGCTGGCTGTTGAAAAATCCAGGAGGGGGTGGGGCCACCCCTGGGACCCCATTGACCTTCTTGAGACCTAGTCAGAACATCAGAGTGGGGACCCCTTAGATGCTACCTAAGGAACCCAGCTCTCAGCCGACCTGAGGCTTTCACTGCCTTTAAAGGGTAGTAGCCCCACCCACAATGCCATCTCGCCTGGCATTTCCTCCTTTCTTTCCTTATGACATGAGATAAAGAAGTATTACAGAGCCAGTGAACTCCGCTGCCTCTTCACCCCCTCACACCAGTTCAAAGCTACATGGGTGAAAAACCATTTGTCATTTTAGATTAGTCGGGTTTTGAACCAGCTGCTGAGGTTCAACCACTGTTGGCACATAAGTAGCAGTCGCAGGCTGCCCATTCCAGTGGGATTTAGGGAGTCTGCAAGTGGACCTCTGAAGTGTCCCATACATCCATTCTTCACTGAGACTTACTAACATTTATAACACAGAAGCTTGGAGTATCAGCTGCCACTTCTAAAAATCTTATGAATAGTCAGTGTTCCTGCTCGCAAGCCTCATGCCTTGGTTCCTGGAGCTAACAGAGAACTAGGGCCTCTCCTGGGTCACCTTTCTTCCATTGGTTCCTGGAGACAAGCAAAATGTGTGACGTCACTGGCTCTTTCCTCTCAGATTTCAATTCCTTTGCAAAGAGTGGGAGAGTTTTCTGGCAAGCTCGGGCTGGGTTCTTCCCCAGTCTTTTACAAGGTGCTCTGGGAAGAGTGAGGGCAGAAAAAGTGGAGGTTTGAGAAGTTAATAACCATATCCCTAAGCACGCATGTGAAATCTTTGAGACTTTCAGCATCTCCTTGGTATACAGTCATAACACGATTAGGGGTTCTGGCTGAGCAGTGAAACCCTGTTTGAAATATGCCAGTTTTCCAGAGCTGAGCCTAGTCTTCCTGTCATTTCTAGGAAATGACCTACTGGAAGATTCCCCGTATGAGCCGGTTAACAGCAGGTTGTCAGATATATTCCGGGCTGTCCCATTCATATCAGGTAAGCTGATTTATACTTCAACTACTATTCCTTTGTCGGCCCGACTCTGCAGGCTTGCCTTCTGGTGAGCTATCTCATACTGTATGGGTTGAGGGAGGTTTCTGGGAAATCAGAAGTAAGGTGTTGATAGTGAAGAGGTGGACCGTGTAGCCATGGATGTCTGAGTGGAGAGTAGTTCTCAATGAAGTAATGTGTGGTGGTGGTTTGGAAGAACCTGGAGGGAGGTGACTGTGTTGACATAAAAAAAAAACCCACAATGAAATATGATTGGCTAGCCCCAGGCAAAGGGAACACTGTTGTCTGTAGGTGGCAATCATTTTCCTGTTCCTGCACCTTACACAGTGTCTCAGTGGGATGGGATCTGCTCTCATGATGCCACTGTCTTTAAGAAGCAGTGATGATAACCTTAACCTGTAGAGGGATTGTGGCTAGACTAACCCATTGCCGTGGATTTAACAGCTGACACTGATTTGAAACTCGGCATTTGCTCACATTTGTTCTCTATCTGATTTGTCCTGAGCAAGTGTGAGCTCATCTGAGAGGAAACGCTCCTGCCCCAGTGCCCTTTGACATATAGTCTCTGCCTTCGGCTTGTTTGGGCTTTTCTTCCAGTTCGGCATTCAGTTTGGAAATGAACAAAAGTTTAAAAGAATTAAGTTCTTTTCTCATAGCATTTGCATTCAGACAGCCCACACATAAGAGGCAAGGCCAGTAATTTCTCTTAATGAAATACAGATTCCAGACTGATGCTGTCTTTACTTATTTACAGTTAAGACATTTTCTCAAGTGCGTATAACCCCCACAGATTGCATGTGTCTTGGTGGTTAAACATGATGGTGGTATGGGAGATGATGGCTTGCTGATGAGGGAGTTCTGCTATTTTAGATGCCTTGAGCTTTTATGCAGCAAGATACAGGAACAAGGGAGCATACACATACTGATGTTACATGAATGCATTGGATGTGCACTCATTGGACAGACATCCATTGGACACCTACTGTGTTCTCACTATTGTGGTTTTGGCTGAGAGCCAGCTATCATCATCCTGGTCCTCATGAATCTTAGAGGCAGCTGTTGACATTTACTGAGCCCTTAGTATATGCCAGGCATTGTGTCAGGAGCTCTTAGCACTGTCTCACACTCTGTATGGAGGGACAGATTGAGGCCCAGGGATGATGGGAAACTAGCCTGTGATCACAGAGGTCATAAATGCAGAGGTCAAAGCCGGATTTGTTTGATTGTCAGGTGTTTATTGTTTTTCATCTATGCGATGCTAGCACAGACTGGTGTTGTGGCAGTTAGACTCTCAGGTCGCATCTAAACCTACTGAATCAGAACCTGCATTTTAGCAAGATCCACCTGGATGGGTCCTTCATGAATATATGAAGCTTGAGATGCACTTCTATATACAGTTTTCTTTTTAGAAGAAATTTCTCCCTCCCCCTACTTTCTCTCTCTCTGCCCCATCTCTCAGTGGTGTGTGTGTGTGTGTGTGTGTGTGTGTGTGTGAGAGAGAGAGAGAGAGAGAGAGAGAGAGAGACAGACAGAGAGACAGAGAGAGAGATTGGAGTTAGACATGAGGCTGTAAGTTAGTATTTGAGACCTTCTTGTTCTGAATTTTCTGGTAATTTTTACTCTAAATCTTGACTGCTTTTCTCTGTCCTGCAAGGACAGAGTTTTAAGCGGTGAGAAAGAGAGAGAGATACATGAACAGTGTGCTTTCAAGGAAGCATTGGTGGACAGGCTAAGGTGGGGTGTAACTGATGCGGTACTGTGTGCCTGACCTCTGACCTTTGTGCTTCTTACCTGCTGCCTGCCATGAAGCATCACTTCCCACTGAGGGCTGGAGGGTGTGGCCCACTCCATAAATAAGGGCCGTTTGATTTAATTTCAGAATTGCAGTGAACTAAGTATGGGGCTTTGCACAGGCTCTGTCCCTTGCCGTGTCGTTCAGTTCTCCTTGGTATAATGAGGGAATTGGAGTAAGTGACCTCCAGTTCTCCAGTCTGTGGTTCTGAAGGAAGACTGGGGTCACCCCCAATTCCTTCCCTGTACCCCAGTACACCTGTACTACTTTTAAACAGCAAGGCCATTCCGGGGTACTACTAACTTGTCTGAATTCCCATCATGAGTAGCAGAAGAATCTTCTGCACTGACCAAGTTTCCCTTACTCACTTATTGCACAGATAATCTCAGGCAGGTCTATTTTTACAGCAGACAGGATCCTGAGTGTATGAGATTCATCCGGTTGAGTACCTAAAAGTCATAATGAATTAAGCAGAGGCAGGAAGCTTCGATTGGGTATCTCGAGGGCATTGGACTTAGGTACTACACCCAGAGAGCCCTGACCTTTGACAGTGACTGTGTTCCTTAAGTGGATATGGTAAAGCCAAATGGAGCCTTGAGGGGTTTGAAGTCATTGAGTTTGGCGCATCAGTCAGTATGGCCTCTGTCAGCTGGAGTCTGAAGCGGCATGATCAATGTAGATTCCACTGTTGGATTCGGAGTTTGTAGACTATCTATTCTGAGTTGGGCACTACTCTGAGGAAGCCAGGACAGCTGACTCCTACATATGGAGTACCCACCTGGGATCCCATGTTTGGATTACCTTGACAGATGCAAACTGAATACACACACGTGTGAGCCGAATCTTCCCACTGACATGATTGAAAGTCTAGCAGTGACGATGGCTCAGTGATAGCTGTATGACCGTGAGGAATTGAGTTTGGGTCCCCAGCACCCACATAAGAGCTGGACTCAGTGATTGACAGCTAGAACCTCGGCGTTGAGAACAAGGTGGCTGAGGCAGGCAGATCCTAGGGACTCTGTGGCCCCCTAAAGGACACGTTTGTTTCCATTTTCTTTGGAGTCTTCAAACACAAAGCTGTCTTGCTAACTGGATAAAAGGCCTTGTGGGGGTCTTATTACACATGGCCTGGCAGGAACGAGGAAAAGAGCAATAATAAAATATAATCTAAAACACTTTTCTCTTCCGAAGCCTGAACTGTGGAAAAGAAATGGAACCGCCGAGTTAGGCCAGTATTTCAGTGGACAGTTGGCAGGCCGACACTTGTGTTTGCCCTCTGAGGCATGCAAAGCGGGACATGAGGAGCTATGTTCACCGCCAGCGTGGTTTCTAAGGGTCTAGGGCCTGAATAACACAAGGGAGAAAATGAGCCAATGAGAGAGAGTGTTGGAGTAAAGGGGGAGGGGCGTGAGGTAGGGTGGGGCATGAAGAATCTCCTGGGAGCACAGACACTGGACTTCAGCATACAGTTTCCTTTCTTGGCCACAGGCCCTCTACCTGTTAACCATGGGTCTGAAGTGGGGTGTGGGGGGATGTGAACCTGCTGTAATTTTTTTCTTTGATTCTCCAGAAAAGGAGAACAACACATGGAGACCATTTGAAAGTGCAGTCGGAGCCAAGAGAAGCCTGCGGGTGGGGGAGGGTTTGAGGGGCGAGCTATGACCCTCTTGGTCAGAAAGAGAAAAGGAAGCTGCAAGGGTTCAAGTAGTGATTGGGAGCTCGCATTTTAGGGAGAGTCAGGAGTTGCCAGGATTTCCATGAATAGAGTCAAAGTGGGTAGTGAGGTATAAAAAAGCCAAGGGGAGGCATGTCAGAGCAGAGACCTCCCGCGATGACTTGGTAAGAGGTGACAGCCCAGACTGTGTCTCTGTCACCTCTTCCCTGTGGCCTGTAGGTGTCAGAGGTCTTTCCAGAAATGTCAGGACTTTAACGTTGGTGCCTAAGTAATTGGGAATGGTTTAATCCAGGAATAAGATGTGCTCAGACTTTCTTGAGTCTGGATTTCTGGGTAAGGACTCACATCATTAGCTGTGCTTGCCATTTCTAGTGTTATGTGCGATCATCTTTATGTCACTATTTTAAAACAAAAACCTTTATTAAAAACTTTGCCCATTGGAACAGAACCTTAGGACAAGGATGTCGTCCATGGATCCCAAGAGAGTCTCAGTACAGCTTTGATGTTCTTGTAGGCTAGGCAGGGGCTGAGGTGTCCTATTCCATTCACTCAGTTCTTGATTTAATTTTAAAATAGATTTTTTTAAAAAAAATTTTATATGCCTGTGGGGGTGGGGTGGGGTGAGGGGGATGTACACATACATATGTTTGCCCAGGGAGGCCAGAAGAGGACGTTGGCGCTCTGGGAGTTAGAGCCACAGGAATTGCAAGCCACAGGATGTGGGTGCCGTAAGACCAGTTCACACTCTTACTCTGATGCATTTCTCTTGCCCTTTGACCAGCTCTTGAAAACAATCTTTAGTAGCGCTGATGGTATATTTCAGAGCCCCAGTATGGCTTTGATATTCTTGTTGTTGGTCAGAACTGCTGGTTCTGATCTGGGTCCATAGGAGCCCCTTGTAGCCTAATCTTGCTACTGCTGCCTGTGCTCTCTTTCTATTCGAGCTCCCTCAGTCAGACCCCCTCACTATGTATTGCATCTGTGTTCACCCTTCTAGGTCTCTGGTCATGGCCTTTATGCTTCAGAAACATCTAATAGTTCTTCAAGGCTGCAGTCAAATTTCATCTCTGAAAATCTCACTGGAATCCCCTAGATGGGCCCCTCACTTAGGACTCCTCTTGTTTCCTGTGCTTTTATGTTTATGGTAGCTATTAATCATGGCACATTGGGAGAACTATTTATGTGTCTGTCTTTCCCACTGGAAGTCAGTGACTGCTTGTTACTTTCTGTGTCAGCTCAGCATCCAGCATCCTTTCTGGTCCAGAGCCCACATTCTATGACCACAGGTGGCTGATTGACAAGGCAGGGTTCTCAGAGATCTAGGCCAGTCTTCCACTTTAACATACAGTCTTGCAGAGAGGGTAACAGATTTGGCCAGGACTGCGCTGCTTGAGATTTGCCAGGGCACTGCTCTGTGGAAGGATAGGTAGCCTCTTTGTTCTGCGTGTGCTGGACATGTCTTATCTATTCTGAAGACCTCAACTACCTACCATGTGGATGATTCAGAACCTTCTCTCC